AGAGAGAGATGGATTTGGGTGGAATTTGGGGCAGAGAGAGAGAGAGAGAGATGGATTTGGGTGGAATTTGGGGCAGAGAGAGAGATGGATCTAGGTGGAAATTGGGGAAAAGGAGAGATGTGTTTTGATTGAATAAGTAGTGAGTGAATGCGTTGGACATCGGATGCGTCTTGGGTGATTACATAAGCCAGTTCTCGACTGTCTGAACTGAATCAATCCACAGCATCATTGGGTAGAATCTTTTCTTTCTGAATAGGAGGTTGTCCTTCTGAAGGAGACTGTTGTATAGTTTGTGCAGCTTTATTTGTGTGTGAGTGACTCATGTATGAATGGTATTTTCTCCACAGTACGCTACAACTTACCAGGTCATCACAAGATCTGAGAATGTCACTGATGAGTTTGGAAATGTTACAGGCAACGTGACTAAACTGTTAAAGGTAAGTGGAAAAGAGAGGACAAATTAGGACAAAACCAAACTGATCTTCGGCACATTGCTAAAATAAAACAAAGAACTGTGAATCCCGGAAATCTGAAACAGAAACAGAATTCCTGGACAAACTCAGTAGGTCTGGCAGCATTTGTGGAGAGAAAACAAAAGTTAACATTTTGAGTCAGAACCTTCTGAGGAAGGATCATTTGACCCAAAACGTTAACTCTGTTTCTCTCTTGACAGATGCTGCAAGATCTGCTGAGATCCTCCAGCACTTTCTGTTTTGTTTCAGCACATTGCTGTTTGTGGGATCTTGCTATGTGTGAATTACCTGTTGACAATGACACAAAAATACTTCAATTGGTTGTAAAGTGCTTTAGCAAGTCCTGAAATATAAGGTCTAATCTTCCTTTTCCTTGTTTTCACTGTTTCTGTTTCCCTCCAGATTCCCAAAGGAAGCAGTGCAGATGCTATGAACATCCTGGGGCTGGTTGTCTTCGCCATTGTCTTTGGGATCGCTCTGCGGAAACTGGGACCAGAGGGGGAGAACCTTATCCATTTCTTCAACTCCTTTAATGAGGCCACCATGGTCCTGGTCTCGTGGATCATGTGGTAAGTGGGTCACCGGTCTCAGTTTCATCACGTGCCCACATGCTGCAGCGCTTTGAGACTGATATTTGTATTACAACTCCCTCAAATGATGCTGTTATCTTGGCCAGTTGTGACTTTGTGGGGACAAGTTCTATAGTGCATCTTGTAGATGGTACACGCTGCTGCTACTGAGCATCAGTGGTGGAAGGAGTGGGATGTTTATGGATGTGGTGCCAATCGAATGGGGGCTGCTTTGTCCTGGATGGTGTCGAGCTTCTTGAGTGTTGTTGGAGCTGCCCCCATCCAGGGGCAAGTGGGGAGTATTCCATCGCACTCCTGACCTGTGCCTTGTAGATGGTGGATAGGCTTAGGGAGTTAAAAGGTGGATTACTTGCCACAATATTCCTAGCCTCTGACCTGCTCATCTAGCTACTGAGTTAATGTGGCCAGTCCAGGTGAGTTTCTGGCCAATGATAACCCCCAGGATGTTGATAGTGGGGGCTTCAGTGACGGTAACACCATTTAATGTCAAGGGGCGGTGGTTAGATTGTCTCTTATTGGTGATGGTCAAAGCCTGGCATTTGTGTGGCTCAAATGTTCCTTGCCACATGTCAGCCCAAGCCTGGATATTGTCCAAATCTTGTTGCATGTGAACATGGACTGCTTCAGTATCTGAGGAGTCACGAATGGTGCTGAACATTGTGCAATCGTCGGCGAACATTCCCACTTCTGACCTTATGATGGAGGGAAGGTCATAGACCATAGAATCCCTACAGTGTGGAAGCAGGCCATTCGGCCCACCGAGTCACACCAACCATCTGAATAGTGTTCCACCCAAACCCACCGCCCCACTCTAATGCTGTAACCCTGCATTTTCCATGGCTATTCCACCTAGCTTACACATCCCTGGACACTATGGACAATTTAACATGGTCAATCCACTTAGTCATTGATGAATCAGCTGAAGATGGTTGGGCCTAGGATACTCCCCTGAGAAACTCCAAAAGATGTCCTGGAGCTGAGATGACTGACATCCAACAACCACAACCATCTTCCCATGTGTCAGGTATGACGCTAACCAGCAGACATTTTGTCCTCTGGCTCCCATTGATTCCAGTTTTGCTGGGGTGTCTTCCTTTTCAGTGAAAGCCTAAAGAAAGCCAGTTTATTTTCCTTCACCTGTAAGCTGTGGCCTTTTCACCAGTATCTTTGAGACTTTGCACTTAATGTTGCAATCACCCTGTGCATCCTGAGAAGAAGTGTAAAGAACCTGGAAAAGAGAGTGATAAGAACAGAAAATCCCAGCAAGCGAAAGGATCATCTTGGTGAACCCTGTGTGGACTGGGGCAATTGAAATGCTGCCCCTGGTTTTTTTACCCCTCCACCCATAACACCAATGTGTCTGTGTGTGCATGTGCGTGTGTGTGTCTGTGTGTGCATGTGTGTGTGTCTGTGCTGTGTGTGTCTGTGCGTGTGCGTGTGTGTGTGTGCGAGAGAGAGAGAGAGAGTGTCTTGGTGTGTGTGTGTGTGTGTGTGCGCGAGTGTGTGTGTGTGTGCGAGAGAGAGAGAGTGTCTTTGTGTGTGTGTGTGTGTGTGTAAGTAATTCTACAACACTCTAGTCTTTGAGTTAGAAAGTTACAAGTCAAATGCAAACACAGAATCTCTGCAGCCAATTTCTGCCCCCTTGGGTGGATATAAACAGTCCTATATCAGAGCAGCAGTTCTGGTCAATATTCATTCCTCAATTAACTGATTTGCTAGTTAATTTCTCAGCGTGTTTGTGACACTTTATGACCGTCATGTTTAATATTTTACAACAGTGTCTACACTTCAAGAGTACCTCATAAGTTGTAAAAACCATTTTGGATACCTTGTGGACATGAACTACTTACATAAATGCAGGTCTTTCATTTTTGATTAGGTCTTATACTGTGTGCTGTTCAGGTAGAATGGAAATATTCACTGAAATATTATAAATTAGCAACACTTATGATCTTCTTAAGAAATGGTGTTGCCCTCCCAGCTCTGTGCCAACCAATTGGATCTCTATGTGAGCAGTCCACCCCTACAACATGCTGCTCAGTCTTCCATCACATTCACATTTGTCATTTTGACAGACCTGGGACTTTCAAATACTTGTGTGCCATCCAAGTTAAGTAGTATCAAGGTTTGATGAAGGTTTGACCAGAAGGGAAGGACTTTGTATAATATTTGTTGGTAAATGAGCTGTTTTTTGTTTTCATTTCTTGGCGAAAAAAAAACATTGATGTCTTTTCCCTGATATCATGGGCCAAGTTTTAGTTTAAAATGTGACCAATAGGTGTTTCTGATATTTATGGCTTTGTCCAGGAATATAATCATGTATACTCTCAGGGCAGTTACTGCCTTGTTAAAACAGTTGTCAAGTCCATCACTTCATATGGGCTGGAGTCACATGTAGACTGGGGAAGAGTAGCAAGTTAGACCAAAAGACACGGGAGCAGAAGTAAGCCATTCAGCCCATCGAGTCTGCTCTGCTATTCGATGAGATCATGGCTGATCTGATAATCGTCAACCACGCTTTCCTGCCTGTTTTCCCCATATCCCTTGATTCCCCTTACTGATTAAAAATGTGTGTATCTCACCCTTAAACCCTCACCAATCACAGCCTTAAAGATCCAGCCTGTGCAGTAGAGAATTCCACAGATTCCCTGCTGTCTGGCAGACGACGTTCCTCCTTATCTCTGTGTTAATTGAGTGACCCCTGACTCTGAGCTGATGCCCTCTGGTCCTACAAGGGGAAGCAACCTTTCTGCATCTACCCTGTCAAATCCCAACACTGGGTTTTAAACCTTGTTGTTCTAAATTCTTCTGAAGAACGACAGTTAAACAGTTTTAATGTCAATGTGACAACCTTGTCGTGCTCATTATTTTCTGGTGCCTGTCAGATTTTTAGGTTTTTTGCAAGTCTCCCTGACAGCCTGCTGTAGTAGTGATAGCAAACTCTGGGTTGCCAGCATGGAGTGGAAGCCTACACTGTTCCTTGCCCTTTCACTGTGGAAAAACTCTGTTTGAAGGCAGAACAATCTGAATGCAAGAATTGCTCAAAAATTGGAAACATCAAAGTTAGGAGCTGGAGTAGGCAAATCGGCCCTTTCATCATGCTCCGCCATTCATAGAGTCACAGAAATGTACAGCACGGAAACAGAGCCTTCAGTCCAACTCGTCCATGCCGACCAGATACCCTAAATTAATGTAGTCTCATTTGGCCCAAATCCCTCTAAACCCTTCCTATTCATGTACCCATCCAGATGCCTTTTAAATGTTGTAATTGTACCAGCCTCCACCACTTCCTCTGGCAGCTCATTCCATACACGCACCACATTCTGTGTGAAAAAAATCACCCCTTAGGTCCCTTTTGCATCTTTCCTCTCTCACCCTAAACCTATGCCCTCTCGTTTTGGACTCCCCCTCCCCTGGAAAAAAGACCTTGACTATTCTCCCTATCCTCATGATTTTATAAACCTCTATAAGGTCACCCCTCAGCCTCCGACACTCCAGGGAAAATAGTCCCAGCCTATTCAGCCTCTCCCTATAGCTCAAACCCTCCACCCCTGACAACTTCATTGTAAATCTTTTCTGAAACCTTTCTAGTTTCACAACATCCTTCCTATAGTGGGGAGACCAGGTTAATTCAATATGATCATGATTGATCATCCAACTCAATCCCCTGTTCCCATTTTTGCCCCATACTTGTTGATCTCTTTAGCCCTAAGAACTATATCTTACTTCTTCTTGAAAACTTTCTGTGGCAGAGAATTCCACAGGCTCCCCACTCTCTGGGTGAAGACATTTCTCCTCAACTCGATGCTACCCTGTATCCTTAGTCTGTACAGCCTGGTTCTGGACCCCCTGGTCACAGGAAGATCCTTCCCTACATTTCCCTTGTCTGATCCTGTTAGAATTTTATAGGTTTCTGTGAGATCTTCTCCCTCACCCAATTCTTCTAAATTTCAGTGAATATGACCTGAACCAGCCCAGTCTTTCCTCATATGTCAGTCCTGCCATTCCCAGGAATCAGGAACAGTTCTGAGGAAGGGTCACCAGACCCGAAACCTTAACCCTGACTTTTTTTTTCTTCACAGATGCTGCCAGACTTGCTGAACTTTTCCAGCAACTTCTGTTTTTGTTCCTGATTTACAGCATCCGCAGTTCTTTTGGTTTTTATTCCCAGGAATCAATCTGGGAAATCTTTGTTGCACTCCTTTTATCAGATAAGAAGACCAAAATTGTTCACAATATTCCAAGTGTGGTCTCACCAAGACCCCTGTACAATTGTAGCAAGACGTCCCAGCTCATGTACTCAAAATCCTTTTGCTATTAACGTATAATTTGCATTCTTCACTGCCTGCTGCACCTGCATGCTTAATTTCAGCAACAAGTTATACCTAAACAGAGAATGCATGTCAGAAATGGTTTTAATGAAGTGCCCTCAGATCTTATCTTTATAACTGGGAAAGAAAATGTGGCTGAGAGAAGTTCAGAACAATGCAGCTGTGAACAGAGCCACATTGCTAACTTTGCAATAAGAATTCAACAGAAAACATGTAAGCTGAGCAAGAATGAGATAGAGCACTGGTTAAGGATATCTGTTCACTGAAACATTTAAATAAGGAGTTGTACTGTGTTGTAAATAATCTTTTATGAAATTTGCAACACTGGAACAAGTCATTCTGATCACAGAAGCCTGTGCCAATATTTCAGTTCTGCGTGAGTCTGCTGCTATTCTCTGTTCATCTCACTCTATCAACCTTCCTTTCGTTTCTACCCTATGTACCTCCCTGAAATGCATCTATTCTGTTTGCCTCAACCACCCTCTGTCATGATGTGGAGGTGCCGGTGTTGGACTGGGGTGGATAAAGTCAGAAGTCACATGACACCAGGTTGTAGTCCAACAGGTTTATTTGAAATCACAAGCTTTTGGAGCGCTGCTCCTTCATCAGGTGAGATCATTTCACCTGACAAAGGAGCAGTGCTATGAAAGCTTGTGATTTCAAATAAACCTGTTGGACTACAACCTGGTACTGCCTGACTTCTGACCCTGTGTGATGGTAGGTTCCCCATTTCCATTGCTGTCTGTATAAAGAAAATGCTCTCAATTTGTCTTTATCTGTGACTATCCTGTTTAGGCCCATATCTTGAGACAGAAATAATTGTAAGTAACGATGGGTTAAATAGCATGAATTTATAAGTTAAGGCATTGCAACAGGTAGACTGGCCAATTTCCACAATTGTTTGTTGTCAATTATTTTAGTTGTCTTTTAACCTAACCATTTTTCTTATTGCAGTGCCTCTTTGATCAGTCTTAAGGTTAATGCTTTGAAACAAGAGTTAGTTAAGGGATATATTATCCTCTTGCATTTTTTAATGAGAATGATAAGGCCCAGTGAAAACACAATGGGCCAAATGGCCTCCTCCTGCCCTGTAACAATTTTGTGCAATGTTGAAACTTTTTAAGTCTCTCCTCTTTCATAAGATGCATATGTTGCTGATAAAGTCAGTATTTGTTGCCCGTCCCTAATTGCCCTGTCATCTAAGTGGCTTGCTGAGCCACATTAGGAGGCAGATAAGAGTTGACTACGTTGTAAAGTGGAATGGATTTCATCTAGGCCAGGCTGGGTAAGGATGGCAGATTCCCTTCCCTAAAGGGCGTTAGTGAACTAATTGGGCTTTTGCAACTATCAACTATAGTTTCATGAATTTTCTTGAATTTAGTTATTGATTGGATTTAAATTCCACCATCTCCGGGATTTGAAACCATGTCCCTAGATCGTTAGGCTAGGCCTTTGGATTACTGACTCAATGACCTCACCACTATGGCACTGCCAATGACTAGGTTGGAAGGCAGTCTTCTGTGCATACACATCTGAATGCACCCCCCACCCCCCACCCCAGTCATATGGGTGGCATGGTGGCTCAGTGGTTAGCACTGCTGTTTCACAGCAGCAGGGACCCAGGTTCAATTCCACCCTCGGGTGACTGTCTGTGTGGAGTTTGCACATTCTCCCTGTGTCTGCGTGGGTTGCTTCCGGTTTCCTCCCACAGTCTAAAGATGTATAGGTTAGGTGGATTGGCTATGCGTACTGCAGACTTACAGGGATAGGGTAGGAAGGTGGGTCTGGGTGGGATACACTTCGGACGATCAATGTGGAGTCGATGGGCTGAATGGCTGCTTCCACACTGTAGGGATTCTATGATTCAGACACTATTTTATTAACGAACGCTGTTCTCCTACCAGGTATGCTCCTTTTGGTATCATGTTCCTGGTTGCTGGAAAAATCGTGGAGATGAAAGATGTCCGCATGCTTTTTACCAGCCTCGGGAAGTATATCTGCTGCTGCATAGTGGGGCACCTCATTCATGGCTTGGTCGTGCTGCCCATCATCTACTTTGCCTTCACTCGTAAAAATCCTTACAGCTTCCTGTGGGGAATCTTCACAGCTCTGGCCACAGCCTTTGGAACTTCATCCAGGTAGGCCGGGGAATTATGTGGAGCCATTGCTTGAGACTTCGCCTGTGTTTGTCAGGGTCTAGGGATGCCTTTTTGTGCTTAAAGTGCTTTTTTGGCGAGCTGTAGTTATTTAGCACACAGAAGAGTCACTGGCCCTGAAACGTTAACTCTGCTTTCTCTCCACAGGTGCTGCCAGACCTGCTGAGTTTTTCCAGCAATTTGTTTTTGTTTGTTATTGAGCATGTATCCATGTTGTGTTGCATGAAGTAGAGTAGATACACAAGCAAAATGTGATGATTGTAGTGATTGTAACAAGGTCAGCCAGGTGGGCCTTATAGAATATCAATTCCCTGATTGGGGCTGTTAATCTGGTCTAGTCAGGGAGTCCTGGCTGACAGATATAAACAGGAGTGTCAGGGGTCATGTTCACTCTGAGAGCTGGCTCTGAGGGAGCTGGATCAGTGTCAAGGACTCTCCATGTGCAAATAAAGGGTGATGGGATACCAGCCTCTGTGGAGTTATTTCAATAACAGCTAGAAAATCTGTGTTTGTTAATCGTGTTTGTTGAGGAATACATATTGGGCCCAGCTCTGTTTTTGAATGCTGTCATAGGATCTTTTGTCTTTACTTGAGGGGCTGCTTTGGGGATGTGTAAACCAAAATCTTATTCTCAGATCTCTGGAGTGGGCTTGAACACACTAGCTTCTGATTTGCAAGTATAATCCAACATGGGGAGGCGATGGCCTAGTGGTATTTTCACTGGACTGTTAGTCCAGAGACCCAGGGGACCCAGGTTTGAATCCTGCATTGGCAAATAGCAGAATAAAGAAAACCTGGAAATGAAAATCTAATGATGACCATGAACCTATTTGTCGATTGTCAGGAAAAACCCATCTGGTTCACTAATGCCCTTTTAGGGAATCTGCCATCCTTACCCAGTTTGGCCTACATGTGGCTCCAGACCCACAGCAATGTGGTTGACTCTTAACTGGACTTTGGATAATTAGGGATGGACAATGAATGCTAGTCTAGCCACTGACACTCCTATCCCACAAATGAGTTTTTTTAAAAAAAACACAGCCATGGTAATGTGAAACTTGAGGGTTCAGAAAAGATTTACAAGGATGTGCCAGGGTTGGAGGGTTTAAGCTATAGGGAGAGGCTGAATAGGCTGGGGCTTTTTTTCCCTTGAGCATCTGAGGCTGAGAGGTGACCTTATAGAGGTGACTAGAGGACATAGGGTTACAGTGAGAGGGGAAAGATCTAAAGGGACCTGAAGGGCAACTTTTTCACACAGAGGGTGGTGCGTGTATGGAACGAGCTGCCAGAGGAAGTGGTGGAGGCTGGTACAATTACAACATTAAAAAGGCATCTGGATGGGTATATGAATAGGAAGGGTTTAGCGGGATATGGGCCTAATGCTGGCAAATGGGACTAGATTAATTTAGGATACCAGGTTATCATGGACGAGTTGGACCAAAAGGTCTGTTTCCGTGCTGTGTATCTCTATGACTCAAGATTGGATTTGCCTTAACTGCATTTTTCATGCCATGTTGTCTTTTTCATCTGTTCACTCATTGTTTTTCATTGTCTCTCTCTTTCCACCCCCCCTCCCCCACAGTTCTGCCACACTACCCCTCATGATGAAATGTGTGGAGGAGAGTAACGGTGTCAGTAAGCAAATCAGCCGCTTTATTCTGCCTATCGGTGCCACAGTGAACATGGATGGTGCTGCCCTCTTCCAGTGTGTCGCTGCTGTGTTCATTGCCCAGCTCAACAATGTCTCGCTCAACTTTGTCCAGGTCATCACGATATTGTGAGTACCAGCCTTGTTCACTGAACCACAACACAAAGCGGCAAACTGCCTGAAAGGGCCGATTCATTAAAAAGGGACTTGTGTAAAATACTTGAAAGCCAGAATTTGAGGAATGTGCAATGGTGCCGGGTTTAATTGAAGGCACTCTTTCGAAGATCATTACAGAAGTCCATAACATGTAGGAGCAGAAGCAGGCCATTCAACCCGTTGAATCTGCTCCACCATCCAATAAGATCGTAGCTGATCTCAGAATCTTCAACTCCACTTTCCGGCCTTTGCCCCATTACCCTTGATTCCCTTCCTGATTAAAAATCTGTCTATCTCAGCTTTGATCTTACTTAATAACCCAGCCTCGACGGCCTTCTGGGTAAAGAATTCTACAGCCTCACTACCCTCTGAGAAAAGAAATTCCTCTTTATTTCTGTCTTAAATACATGACCCCTTATTCTGAGATTATGCCCTCTGGTCCTGGACCCTCCCACAAGGGGAAATGACGTCTCCACATCTACCTTGTCAAGTCCCCTCAGAATCCTGTGTGTCTCAATAAGGTCGCCTCTCATTCTCATTGTCAATGAGTACAAGCCCAAACCATTCACCCTCTCCTCGTGAGACAGTTCTTCCATACCCAGGATCAGCCCAGTGAACCTGCTGTGCACATCTTCCAATGTCAGTATATCTTTCCTGAGCGAAGGGGACCAAAACTGCTCACGGCAATCCAGGTACCTTTTCCCATCTCCAATTTTAGGCTCTTGTGCATCTGCTATTTTAATCGCTTACCCTTGAGTTGCCTGGCTCCAAAACACTGGAATTCTACCTCCCCCCTCAGAGAACCCTTCTAATAACCTACCTCACTGACTGACTGAACTTCTGATCATGTTCCTGTGAGGTATGTTAACTCCTCATTAAGGGTGCTATATAAATGCAAGCTCTTGTTGAGGCAAGAGGTGCATGTGGAATTGTTTAAGAGGCACCAGATGGCAGTAAGTGGAATGAAAAACTTGCATTCCTATAGCACCATTTACTACCTTAGAGTACCCAATAAATATTTATTTAGTGATCGATAACCATTTATAGTAGTCAGCCAGGCCTTGGTGTCAATGTCCACACCTCATGTCATTATTTCATTTGTATTTTTTTTTAAACTTATCGACACTTCCAGCAGATCTCCTGGGATGAGTATCTCCTGTCCTGTCTGTACAAGGCCTTCCCAGGAGTACTCTGTGTAAAGATGAATAGGCCTATCAGACCGTAAGGCTGCCCCCTCATTAGACAGAGAGAGATGACTGGTGGTGGTTTAACCTGAGGGTCACCACATCTCAGGCGAGGGCAGAGGTTGAGAAGGAGAGTCCTTCATAGTAACCTCACCCGGTGCTGGAATTAGACACACGCTGTTGGTATCACACTGTGTATTGCAAACAAGCTGTCCAGCCAACTGAACTAACCAGCTCCCTACTCTTTATACAATTTCTATCGCTGCCCCACTACCACTCAGGTACAGGAACTGGATAGAAATGGGCCAGGCTTATTGACCATTAACCATTGGCAGTTGAAGGTGATGATGCCTTTTGAAAACACTGTTCTGGAGATACCAGACTCCCTCTGTCATCAAATGAGAAGTTGAGGGCTGGCAGGCTGTTCACCTCTGGTGTGCATCACACCACAGCCTCATACCATCCTGCACATGTGCATGTGTTCTCTCTGGCCCCCTTGATAGAATTGTCGGGGTGCAGCAACAGACCAGTCAACACAGACTTGTAACCGAGGTGCTCTGATCCTCTAAAGTTGGCCTCACCCCCTGCTGAACTCAGGCAGGGTTGGGGATTGCAAAAGAAATTCAGTTTACTGCTGAAAAAAATTGCACATTTTATCAAGTTTTTATCATGTTTGTGTTCATCAGGACCATTTGCAAGAAGACCAATTCTAGGGGAAAACCACATACATACAGCATGAGAACAGAGTACTGATTGTTTGGCAAGTAACTTTGACAGAGGTATTACCATGGAGAATGCACCTGATTGATAGTTAACTGCCAGAAAAGATTGGCTTTATTGATATTGTACTATCCTAAAACTGGCTCACCAGTGACATCTAGATGGAAATCTGCTATCCTTGTACAAACTGGGCCTATATTTGACTCCAAGATGACTTCAGGCACTTAACTGCACTTTGAAATGGCCACTTGGATACATTAAAGAAGGTGGCTCAACCATTTCCTACCCAGATTGGGGATGTGCATCTGGTTTGGGACTGAAGGTCACCGGTTCTCCAGTCTCGCCGTACCCTCGTCCTAACTGAGCTGCTCCTTCTTTTCCAGAGTGACGGCCACTGCCTCGAGTGTTGGCGCTGCTGGCATCCCTGCAGGAGGTATCCTGACGCTTGCCATCATCCTGGAAGCTGTGGGGCTGCCCACGAAAGAAATATCACTGGTGCTCGCTGTTGATTGGCTGGTGTAAGTAGCCTTTTTGTTCTCAAACCTGGCACGGGGTGGCAAGCTCAGTGTTTGCTGCCCTTGACAAGGTGGTGGTGAGCTGCCACCTTGAGCCTCTGTGGTGTAGGGCCTCCCATGGTGTTGTTAAGGATGGAGTCCCAGGATTTTGACCCAGCGACACTGAAGGAACGGTGATATATTTCCAAGTCGGGATGGTGAGTGGCTCAGAGGGGAACTCGCAGGGGGTGGTATTCCCATGTACCTACTGCCCTTATCCTTCAGGATGGTGGAGGTCATGGGATTGGAAGGCGTTGTTTAAAGGAGCCTTGACAAACGTCTGCAGTGCATCTTGTCGGTGGTGGAGGGAGTGGATGTCGAAGGTGGTGAAATGGGTTCCAGTCAAGCTGACTGCTTTGTACTAGGTGTTGTCGAGCTTCTCAAGTGTCGCAGCTGCACTCCTCCAGATAAGTGTAGTCTATTCTATCACAATCCTGGCTTTTAGACAGACTTTGGGGAATCACGAGGTGAGCTACTCGCTGCAGGATTCCCAGCTTCTGACCTGCTCTTGTAGCCGCGGTATTTCTACAGCTGCACTGCCAGTCAGCCTAGGAAAATGGTGTATTAGTTATGTGCTTGAATGCTATTTTCATATGAAATTATAAACCCTAATGCTTCACAATCTGGCAAGAGTCGCCTGATACACAGCGGCACTGAGAACTCTTGCTTCTCTCTCTCTATCTCTGCCTTCGGGCCTTGTATGCACACAGAGGAAGCAGTAACAAGATTGGTAGGAGGAAGACATCAACCTGTTTCCCCACTGATGGACGTTATTCAGTAACCCAGCACTCTCTAGGCTCCAAAGTGCGCATTAAGCAAATATTCAGGCTTAGCTATGATGCCCGCTAGAGTCAAATAACTGGCCAACGCCCACCTACTTCTCCTGAGGGTCGCTGGTCCCCATTGAAAACTGGGGCTTAATGTGAAGTTCTACACTTTTTGGTGTGATAAACAGAAAGGAAGAGTATTATTGAAATGGTAGTATGTTGGTAAGTGTGGTCGTGCAAAGGGATGTGGGTGTCCTTGTATAACCCAGTTAATGAAAATATGACGTGGAGGTTGGACTGGGATGGACAAAGTCGCAAG